AAGTGTTATCCTGCAGAGACCGCTTTCTGGTGGATGACAGTCCAGGACAACCTGGCCGGAGGGCCCAGGAGGGTGACATGGGGGTGCCCTGAAAGCTGTTAGGGCTGCAGCAGATGGCTGAAGGGGTTCAGATTCCTCGGCCCCTTCCCAGTGAGGTGTGGTCCTCTTCCCCTTCGGTGCAGGACGCTCCGCCACACTCCGGGGAGGGGCGGAGGGGCTGCTGGGCAGGAAATGTGTGGCTGCGGAGTGTGTGGAGCTGGCTCAAGAGCAGGGTGTGCTCGTTCCGGATCCACTTGTAATATCAGGTGTTGGCATTTCACAAGTGGATCTGAAAGCTTTTCCGCTTAGAGAGCATGCTGGGGTTTTACGTTTGGAGAAGCAAAGTGAGCTTTGGAGCTTCGACAGCTTAGCAGAGGGAGGGTCCGTCAGAATGTGGCAGATGAGACCGTGGGCCTGGCTCTGCTCTGTGCAGACCTCAGCAAGCACCTACCTGTTACTCTCCTGACTTAGAGCCTCCAGTCCCTGGCCCCCAAGGTCCCTGTCACGTGTGATCCCAGGACCCAGAGAGTTAATCTGCCCAGACAGCAGGCACCAGTTGGGAAGGAGGGCGACAGCACATCTTATCTGAAATACAAGAGTTTCACCCTCTGTGCTAAGAACCATATGCAAACATCATTTGGATGTTAACTTGAAACCGGATTGGATCCTGTGACAAGAATACGTGTGATGCTGGAGGCAGTTTAATGAGTGATAGCCGGCCCTGAGCTGTCTTGTCACTCAGAGACCATGGCCTTTCTAGCCCAAGTGCCATCTGGGAAAGTGCGTGCATCAGAATTCACGTTTGGACCAGTTTGCGTTCATTAACACATGTGAGCCCCCTGGGGACGGCCAGGCTCGGTTGAGCAGATTAGCCCTGGACATACAGTGGGCACAGGCACAGAGGCCGCTTGGTCTGGCTGGGGTCATGGGCCTCTACTGCACACAGCCTTGTGAGGGCATGCGCTCAGGACAGTCCCCTGTGCACACAGACAGGGGTCTGAAAGGCAGGGGCAGCTCCTGGACCGCCTCGGAGTCAGGCCAGCGCACATATACCCTCTTGTACTCTCCTCCTGTCCTTTGTGAGAGGGGTGGCTGTCATGCCCACCCTTTGATGGCTGCACCTGCTTACACAGCCTGGCAGTTCCTGGTTGTCCCTGATCCTTACCTGGAGTGCAGTCTTGGGACTCTGCCTTGGGGACCAGCACCTTAAGAGTTCTGTCCCTAGTGGGCTCATTGCAAACAGGTGTTTGAGGTCGAGTCAGCAGGGACAGTGACCTCTCAAAGGAAGGCCACGACATTTGCTACAGGAAAAGTCCGTCAACACTTTGGGTGTTTGATGCCACCCACGTGGGAAGGATTGCGAGTTTTCACTATCTGGTCAGCAGAGCAAGAGCCTGAGCAGGGTGGGGGCTGGGATGCACCTGCGCTCTCGCGCCCCG